TGCTGCGTAAATTCTCCTAAACCTGCTACAAAATGTCAATTTTGACAAAATCTGTATCCCTTCTAGACATTTACATTTTAGTAGACGCTCTTATCCAGAGCGACTTACAGTTAGTGAATGCATACACAAAAAAAATCATACTGGCCCCCCGTGGGAAACGAACCCACATCCCTGCCGGCCAAACCCTCCCCTACCTTGGACGACGCTGGATCAATTGTGCGTCGCCCATGGGTCTCCCGGTCGCGGCTGGTTGCGACAGAGCCTGGACTCGAACCAGGATCTCTAGTGGCACAGCTAGCACTGCGATGCAGTGCCTTAGACCACTGCGCCATTAGGGAGTCAAAACCTTGTTTCAGGGCAGAGCTCATTAGAATAATATTCAGCATGCTTTGCAATTGTCCATTTTTACATTCACATTTATATTTAGTTTATTTAGCAGACACTCTTATCACACCATAGTGTCGTCAGATTTCTGATACCAATGAAAGGGGGACACAAAATGGTGTACCACTATAAAAAAAAAAGGTATAGAAAAGTATTTGGTATTTTGAAAATACAAATTACAGCTCTCTAAAGTATCTTGTCACAAAATACATTGGAGTGTAGTTCATCCCAGTGTAATACAAATGACAAAATAGTCAGAAGTAATTGAAATGCATATTTCAAATACATGTAACAGAAATACTGCCCATCTCTGGAGACAAAGACCTGTACTGTACACATTTCTGACAGGCGGAGATTAATGGTCTTGGCATGCAGATCTAATCAGCAAATATCCACACTGAAAATGAATGTGTTTTAATGGACGGCCACTTGGGGCTTTGGGGGAGCACTGCTGGCAGAGTGGCCGAGCCTGGGCTCGCCCTGGAATTTGCAATGGCCATGGGGGGAAGTGATCTATTTCGGAGGAAATCGAGGACTGTCCGGACAGACGCCTTCTTGGCAGATGAACAAACCCCATTTCTCTTTTACCAGGAGGAGTTGACTGGAGACGGCCACTGTGGATGGGGTCACCGTCACCACCGAGCAAATATTTGCATGATGGATTGAGCCCCTGGTTCATTTGCATTGAATAATAATGGTGCACTTATGTTCAATTATTACTGGGCTGGGTGCCACTGATCTGAATACCATATTTAATACTGACTTATATCACGTTTTCCTATGCGCTTCTGACTCCAATTGGGAATGTAGGGAAAACTCAAATGTCAGGTGACCTGGCGCAGGCGCAAAGTAAATTAAAATAATAGGCCCATGATTATTGTGAATACTCAGAATGATTAAAGAACAACTGCCCTAAAAACCAACTTCTCACTTTGAAAACAGCCTATATGTGGCATGGATATGAGTCAGAAACATGTATTATACGGTCAAAATTGACTACAATGTGTAAATAGGATCATAAAGTCAGTGTAGGATTATTTTATGAGAAATATTATTTTCTAAGCCACTGTTGTTAGTTCTAAAATATGGTGAATCAGTTGTTTGCAATTGAAATGATAGATTTCCTACCTGGCCCCTACTTTGTTATATTCTGATTGGTCAGATTTGTGTTAATTGTTGTAAAGAGAACAGGACGTAGGGCAGTTCAGGCTGTAAGCAAGGTGCCAAGGTTCTGGTCTAGAAGCACGGTTTCAACTGCTTCTACAGCCTTTTATCGGTACTGCAGTTTAACTGACACCCGGCCCAGAAAGACAATTTCCAAAGACGACAAATAGAGAAGTCAGATAAAAAAATTCCTAATAAGACACTTCAGTCATCACATTTGTGCACAAAACATCCATTGAATTATTTAAATTTTCACTGAAACTTATTTTTTTTCATCACTCGCAGCCGAATACATTAACATTTGATGTTCATCCAACGTCTGCAATGTTTTTGGATGACCTGATGACGTCGTCGCTGCTCGTTTTGTTCCCTGTGCTCACTAAGTGCTACTGCGCATGGGAAGTTGGGCCATGTAAACCGGATGCAACCTGTTTATAGACGGTCTGGCGTATGCAAATGTGAGTATGTTAAGTTGAAAACAACGGTCGGACATCTTGGGATGCAGTCTCCAGTTCTTTATACCTCAGTGGCTGTAACAGTGGTCAGTTGATGATTAAATCTTTAAAAGAGTAATCAGTCTCCATCCAGTTTGTATCCACATAGAGAGTCATCCATCCACCATTGAAAGAGCCATCAAACTACATCCATCTCATCCAAAACTGAGTTTTGTGAGACTTGTGTTCCTGACTGCACACAACATACATGAAGGTTGGGTTTTTTCAAACCTGCACACATGACACAGCTGGCAGCACACAAGTAATCATCAATTCGGAGTGCAGCTGCATGCGACCCAATTGTAATGTCCGTGTTTAATTTGGGTTGACTTTGGATATTCCTATGGGGCTAGTTAGGGACCATTGGTAAACTACACAATGTACATGGGATAATATGTTACAAAAATCCAATAGCTCCAAATTTCAATGACTTAAAAACCTCAAACCAACTTTAAATTGCAGAAATTCATATACAAATATTGAAAGCATTTAATGAAAAGACTTAAAGGTGTGCAACATGAAAATATTGTCTCATTTACATTGTGTAATTTATTGACGGTCCCTGACTAGCCCCGGAGATAGGCTATCGAAAGGGAAACCAACTTTGCCACGAGGTCGCACACCAGCTGGCTGAAGCTAATTGGTGAAATAATTTGGCTAACTCTTCCCACCTGCGAACACACACAAGCGAACCCACATCGAACCACACCCCGAAACCAACTCAAGTTTGAATTCAGTCATGGCCGCTAACATTTCTTAATTAACCAAGTCTAAAACAGGCCAAATCAGGAAGTGCATTCGCCCTTTAATATAATAGTTTGATTTAAACATTTACATGCTTTGCAAGAAGAACAATTTCCCGAATAATCCTGTTTACATGGACACATCTGAAATCAGTATACCTGATGGGACTTTATGTAGAAATTCTCCAATAAAAATAAACGTTCTACCACACCATGTTATTATTTGGAAGCCTATTTGATTCGGAGTTCGGACATATAATGTTTGTATGTGAAAACTATTACTAAGATGCTTACTTTCAGTTTTTCCGAACTCACTTCACTCACACAAAAGAGTGAAAAAGTTGTAAATGTAACCCTAACCCTTTTCCTTAACCTAATTCTCCTAACCTGCTGCATAAGTTCTCAGAAGTCAAGTGTCAAGGTTTCAGCACTGGCCTCTCCTATCTATTCCAGCAAGAGAATGCATAGGCCTATGTATCAACATTTGTGCTATAACTTACTTCCTCTGCCGAGAGGTCTGGACTTAAATGGCACAGTTCTTAGGATGGATTTGAAACAATGTTACAGCCTACCATGCCATAGCACTAGACTGCAGTTCTCCAAAACAAAGAGCATCTACATGACACTCACTACAAGCCCTATAACTATCCTACCAGGGGTTTACAGGCTTTAAATTACTTGCTATGTAGTAATTTCAGCCAATGCATTTCTGGTAAGTGTGGGTGTCAGTTGGCAAGTATAGCCAACGAGAGACTAATTATACTCCAAATGTCTCTATTTTTTATTTTATCCAAGACCCTTTTGTGTTCTTCACTGGCTGTTCTCAACATTATTGTTTTAGGTGGAATGTTAGTGGTCCACTGTGTATTCTAGGAGAATGTGTGGTCAGTGTAGGTTTGAGTGTGACCAGATACTGACCAGAGGGCCCACTGGCTAGGGCTCCTGTGCTGCACACATTGATAATGACAGTGCTTCCATCTCCTGGTTAAAGTAACTAACTGCTGTAGGGATATTTATTGTTCCAGATCATTTTCCTCAGGTTTGGCAGTTTTTTTCAAATGATGTGATAGTTTGACTGACACTGAGGACAAAATCAAAGCTCCAGTCTCTATCAGTGGGTGATATTTATTTTATTTGTTTATTTGGATCCCCATTAGCTTCTGCAGAAGCAGAGGCTACTCTTCCTAGGGTCCACAAAAAAACACAAAACATGACAAGTAACAAAACACTGATAGACAAGGACAGTCACACACATTTAAAATACAACTATATACAAACCATACAACAACAAAAATAATACAAATAATAATGTGTGTGTTAGAGTGTCTATGTGTGTTTGACTTGGGGACTGTGAAGAGACCCCTGGTGGCATGTCTTGTGGGGTATGTATGGGTGTCTGAGCTGAATGTTATTTGATTATGCAGACAATCAGTAATTTGAATCACAGTAATATTTCTCATTAAAACTAGAAGAGAAGTAGTTAGTCTCACGTCAACCCTCAACCAGGAAAGACTGGCATGCATGTTGTTGATGTTAGTTCTGTATACACTATGTAGTTAAGGGAAAGGCGTGCTGCTCTGTTTTCAGCCAGCTTCAACTTTGCCAAGTCTTTCTTTGCTGCACTGGACCGTATTACTGGACAGTAATCAAGATTGGACAAGACCAGAGCCTGAACAACTAGTACAGTTGATCTTTGTGTCAAAAACACAGAACATATTTTTATAACAGACATACCCCTCCCCATCTTCATAACAACTTTGTCAATATGACTTGCCCATGATAAGTGACCATCCAATGTTTTACCTAGGAGTTTAACTTCCTCAACTTGCTCAATGCTCACACCCTTTATGCACAACTCCAGTTGAGGTTTAGGTCTTAGAGAATGTTTTGAACCAAACAGTGAGTGAAAGGGCTCGGGTGATGGGTTGATGGTCACAGACAGACCTCGTGGGAACACCTGGCCTAGCAAAACTCCATCCTGGGCTGGGAAATGAGAGCATGTTTATATTCTAGGGACCTTGTGATAGGGAAGACAGTGAAAACATGACTTTGAGCATCAGCAAACAAAACAAACTGGATCTCTTCCCATACCATCTCATCTCACACCCCTCATCAAACCCTACTGAGCTGCCTCGCGTATCTACTCGTCTCCTTCCCTCAGACCTCATCTCTCTGTTAGGTACCAGACACAAAGGACGTGTAGACCAGCAGCCCAATGGAGCAGACAGTGGTGCTGATCACAGGATGCTCCTCGGGGATAGGCCTCAGTCTGGCCGTCCGGCTGGCCTCGGATCCAGCGAAAATGTACAAAGGTAAGCAGCAACTGACTTGCAAGGACGTCACTGTACAGAAAGCGTTTATTTTATTCAGTGCCGTAAAATCATGCAATAAACAGTGTGGGTACAATATGTGACATGTTTGTTGCATAACGGCTTTGAAGCAGTAAGCTGTCTCTGAGTATTATGCAGGTTGACTACATGGCAGGCACATATTAGAAAAACAGGTTTTGGTTGGTTTACCTGCATCACAATGTAATTACAGAAAATTATAGTTTTGGAAACTATGGTGACAATATAATGTTATCGTAAAGCTCTGTATTTCATCCTTTTTGTTCTGTACATGTTTAATGATAGATCTCTGATGTCCTTGACCACTGATATCCCCTCTGTTTAGTCTATGCCACCATGAGGAATCTTGCCAAGAAGGAGCGTCTGCTGGACTGTGTGAAGGGCCTGCACAAGGACACCCTGGACATCCTCCAGTTGGACATCACTGACCAGGGGTCCATTCTGGATGCCAGGGACAGGGTCAGGGAGAAGAGGGTGAACATTCTGGGTACGGCCAGAGTCATGACTTACAGTTATAGTGTAATATCGTGTGTGTGTGTGCACGTGTGCATGCGTGTGTGTGTGTGTGGGGTTGTATGTGGTTGTGTGCGCAAAACAGAAGAACAGATGTCCTTCATATTTGTACATCAAAGACTATTTCTTTACATGTGTACAGCAGACAGTATGTCATGTGCTCTGACTTTCTGTGTGTCTGTGGTCTTCTTGTTGGCAGTGTGTAATGCTGGTGTGGGGTTGATGGGGCCGTTGGAGGCCCAGTCCCTGGCCACCATGAGGCAGATCCTGGAAGTCAATCTCCTGGGCACCATCAGCACCATCCAGGCCTTCCTACCAGGGATGAAGGCCCAGGGCCACGGACGCATCCTGGTCACTGGCAGCATCGGTGGGCTAAAGGGTGAGAGAGAGAGAGCAGGGCTGGGATGACAGGAGGGGGAGTGGGATGAAATTGCCCTTAGACACTGATCTGAGGTCAGATTTGGAGCTTTGTTCAGTATTTATTGCCATGATAATCACAGATCTCTGTGTGTTATTGTATTGTAGGACTCCCCTTTAATGAGGTGTACTGTGCCAGTAAGTTTGCAGTAGAGGGCGCCTGTGAGAGTCTGGCCATTCTCCTGCAGCACTTCAACATCCAGTGAGTCCAGACAGAGGTCAACATCTCATGTATCCCTTTGTCAGTGTTTCGTTTTGGATGTGCACTGTATCTGTGTTAGTATTGATTGACTCCATCCACCATCATACAGTGTGAGTCTTATTGAGTGCGGCCCTGTCAACACGGATTTCCTGGACAACCCGCAGAGGGCAGAGCCAGGGGACTGTTCACTGCAGCAGGTCGACGCCCACACACGCAGCCTCTATGACACGTACCTGCAACACTGTGGGATGGTGTTCCAGAATGCAGCTCAGGACACAGAGGATATTGTGAAGGTACAGTAGGCTGTGGTGTGTCTGCAGTGGCCTAGAAGGACCACTAGAGGGGGTACTATTCCTAGTGCTTACTTGACATCTATTAGTTATTTAGCTGATCTCCTAAGGTGCTCCTCTCCCTCTTTCTCCTCTTTCTACCGTTCAAAAGTTTGGGGTTACTTAGAAATGTCCTTGTTTTTAACATGAAAACATACATGAAATGAGTTTGAATAGGAAATATAGCAAAATGAATAGGAAATGTAGTCATTGACAAGGTTATAAATAATGATTTTTAATTGAAATAATAATTGTGTCCTTCAAACTTTGCTTTTGTCAAAGAATCCTCAATTTGCAGCAATTACAGCCTTGCAGACCTTTGGCATTCTAGTTGTCAATTTGTTGAGGTAATCTGAAGAGATTTCACCCCATGCTTCCTGAAGCACCTCCCACGAGTTGGATTGGTTTGATGGGCACTTCTTATGTACCATATGGTCAAACTACTCCCACAACAACTCAATAGGGTTGAGATCCGGTGACTGTGCTGGCCACTCCATTATAGACAGAATAACAGCTAACTGCTTCTTCCCTAAATACACTGCTCAAAAAAATAAAGGGAACACTAAAATAACACATCCTAGATCTGAATGAATGAAATAATCTTATTAAATACTTTTTTCTTTACATAGTTGAATGTGCTGACAACAAAATCACACAAAAATTATTAATGGAAATCAAATGTATCAACCCATGGAGGTCTGGATTTGGAGTCACCCTCAAAATTAAAGTGGAAAACCACACTACAGGCTGATCCAACTTTGATGTAATGTCCTTAAAACAAGTCAAAATGAGGCTCAGTAGTGTGTGTGGCCTCCACATGCCTGTATGACCTCCCTCCTGGACAGTCTGTGGTGCAACATGGCGTTGGTGGATGGAGCGAGACATGATGTCCCAGATGTGCTCAATTGGATTCAGGTCTGGGGAGCGGGCGGGCCAGTCCATAGCATCAATGCCTTCCTCTTGCAGGAACTGCTGACACACTCCAGCCACATGAGGTCTAGCATTGTCTTGCATTAGGAGGAACCCAGGGCCAACCGCACCAGCATATGGTCTCACAAGGGGTCTGAGGATCTCATCTCGGTACCTAATGGCAGTCAGGCTACCTCTGGCGAGCACATGGAGGGCTGTGCGGCCCCCCAAAGAAATGCCACCCCACACCATGACTGACCCACCGCCAAACCGGTCATGCTGGAGGATGTTGCAGGCAGCAGAACGTTCTCCACGGCGTCTCCAGACTCTGTCACGTCTGTCACGTGCTCAGTGTGAACCTGCTTTCATCTGTGAAGAGCACAGGGCGCCAGTGGCGAATTTGCCAATCTTGGTGTTCTCTGGCAAATGCCAAACGTCCTGCACGGTGTTGGGCTGTAAGCACAACCCCCACCTGTGGACGTCGGGCCCTCATACCACCCTCATGGAGTCTGTTTCTGACCGTTTGAGCAGACACATGCACATTTGTGGCCTGCTGGAGGTCATTTTGCAGGGCTCTGGCAGTGCTCCTCCTGCTCCTCCTTGCACAAAGGCGGAGGTAGCAGTCCTGCTGCTGGGTTGTTGCCCTCCTACGGCCTCCCCACATATCCTGATGTACTGGCCTGTCTCCTGGTAGCGCCTCCATGCTCTGGACACTACGCTGACAGACACAGCAAACCTTCTTGCCACAGCTCGCATTGATGTGCCATCCTGGATGAGCTGCACTACCTGAGCCACTTGTGTGGGTTGTAGACTCTGTCTCATGCTACCACTAGAGTGAAAGCACCGCCAGCATTCAAAAGTGACCAAAACATCAGCCAGGAAGCATAGGAACTGAGAAGTGGTCTGTGGTCACCACCTGCAAAACCAGTCCTTTATTGGGGATGTCTTGCTAATTGCCTATAATTTCCACCTGTTGTCTATTCCATTTGCACAACAGCATGTGAAATGTATTGTCAATCAGTGTTGCTTCCTAAGTGGACAGTTTGATTTCACAGAAATGTGATTGACTTGGAGTTACATTGTGTTGTTTAAGTGTTCCCTTTATTTTTTTGAGCAGTGTAGTTCTTGCATAGTTTGGAGCTGTGCTTTGGGTCATTGTCCTGTCGTAGGAGGAAATTGGCTCCAATCAAGCGCCATCCACAGGGTATGGCATGGCGTTGGAAAATGGAGTGATAGCCTTCCTTCTTCAAGATCCCTTTTACCCTGTACAAATCTCCCACTTTACCACCACCAAAGCACCCCCAGACCATCACATTTCCTCCACCATGCTTGACAGATGGCATCAAGCACTCCTCCAGCATATTTTCATTTGGTCTGCGTCTCACAAATGTTCTTCTTTGTGATCTGAACATCTCAAACTTCGATTCGTCTGTCCATAACACTTTTTTCCTATCTTACTCTGTCCAGTGAAAGTCTGAAATATGGCTTTTTCTTTGCAACTCTGCCTAGAAGGTCAGCATCCCGGAGTCACCTCTTCACTGTTGACGTTGAGACTGGTGTTTTGCGGGTACTATTTAATGAAGCTGCCAGTTGAGGCGTCTGTTTCTCAAACTAGACACTCTAATGTATTTGTCCTCTTGCTCAGTTGTGCCCTGGGGCCTCCCACTCCTCTTGCTATTCTGGTTAGAGACAGTTCGCGCTGTTCTGTGAAGAGAGTATTACACAGCGTTGTACGAGATCTTCAGTTTCTTGGCAATTTCTCGCATGGAATAGCCTTCATTTCTCAGAACAAGAATAGACTGACGAGTTTCAGAAGAAAGTTATTTGTTTCTGGCTATTTTGAGCCTGTAATCGAACCCACAATTGCTGATGCTCCAGATACTCAACTAGTCTCAAGAAGGCCAGTTTTATTGCTTCTTTAATCAGCACAACAGTTTTCAGCTGTGCTAACATAATTGCAAAAGGGTTTTCTAATGATCAATTAGCCTTTTAAAATGATAAACTTGGATTAGCAAACACAATGAGACATTGGAACACAGGACTGATGGTTGCTGATAATGGGCCTCTGTACGCCTATGTAGATATTTCATAAAAAATCAGCTGTTTCCAGCTACAATAGCCATTTACAACATTAACAATGTCTACACTGTATTTCTGATCAATTTGATGTTATTTTAATGGACAAAAAAATGATTTTCTTTCAAAAACAAGGACATTTCTAAGTGACCCCAAACTTTTGAACGGTAGTGTATATGATACTAGATATTTATAGATTTTCTATGGAAGTGTAAGTAGGACTTTTGAGTGGATTTGATAGCTGGACCCCTCTCACTATAGGTATTTCTGGATGCCATCCAGTCATCGAACCCTGCATTCAGATACTACACCAACAATGCCCTCCTGCCCCTCAGCAGCCCTAAGATCTCAGCACTGGACGGGTCCCAGTACATCAGAACTATGAGCAAGATCATCTTCTCAACCAACGGGAAAGAGGAACAAAAATAGCCATAAAACTATAGAATGTAATATAACCCTTTACTTTATACATACATAGGCTATATATAAGTTATACATATGATTTGCATTGGAGCCACACACAAGCACATAATTTCAGCCAACAACATGGACATCCAAAATCGTCTTCTTTACACACAATGTTCAACCACCAACTTCAAGGTGGAGGCTTTGCTATGATATCACAACTTTCTTATACATTTGAAGAGTTTATATCCACCAATGTTTTTCATCAGAAATTATTGCTAATGGGTACCTTCATGTGTGTGTAAGATATTACTGTTCTTAGATTTTAGTGTATGTGTATGAAATCACTTTTTTTTGGCAAAACGCTATATATCCATTGTTTAGCATGGAATGAAATGTTCGTATCCTGTATATTTGACTGTGATGTGTGGTTGTCTCACTTAGCTATCTTAACATGAATGCACTTTTACTGTAAGTCGCTCTGAATAAGAGCATCTGCTAAATTATTAAAATGTCAAATATTACTGTATCAAATGTATCATTCATACAGTTCTTTATAAAGAATGCAGTTATTGTTACATTTGACTGTGTAAAACCTAGGAGTACTACTCATTTATCTGAGAGTGAGGCGGATTTGTCTCTCAGGGATTCTTGAAAGACGGGACAATCCCAACTTTTCTTTTACAAATATTTTTCTTAATATTAACAACATTTGAAATATACATTTTTATAGACCAAAGTATCAGCTACCACACAATGTAAAGGAACAAACTCCTAACTAAAATATTGGATTTATGTGAACTCTGTAAAAGGCATTTTATTTGTATATTTATTGTCCAACAAGTGTTTAAAGGCCTTGATTGTTTCATTCTAGAATTAGATTATTCAAATATGTAATATAAATCTCCAAACGTCTTTTTGTTTTGTTTTATACTACTGTATAATGCTCCAGGGCTAATTTTGTTAGCATTTTGGCATGTTTTTCTAAATTCAGAACATAAAATAAGATTCATAAAGCATGTCTAGCACGGCAAGTACTGTACTTCAATAGTTTAAGCATATATTGCAGGACAATGATGAACATATGTTTTCTGAATATTTACCAAAAACATCTATCTTAAGGGAGTTGACAAGCCACTGAGTTGACAAGCCACTGACGGAGTTGAAAACAGAAACTCAAAACAGACATAAGTGACCCCAAACTTTAAATACAAACATTTGGAAAATATAGTAAGTGATTTATTTGACAATCCACAACAAAATATAACCATTCTATCAGATTTTTCAGCACTCTGACAGAGTTGATGTTAGACAAAAATCTGACAGAATTGACATTTTACGGAGTTATGGCTTATTTTCTTCGTCATTCAAGTGTTATACAAAATACACATTTTGTTTTTCCTCAGTTGCTTTATGACTCTAAAATCTACATATTTGAACCAAAATTCATATTCTTCATATATAATGGAGATGGAGTTGGCAGGTTATGGTTGTGACCATGTCACACCCTGGCTCTGGGACTCTATATGTTGAGCCAGGGTGTGTATATTCTATATGTTTCATTTCTTTGTTGGCCTGAGTGACTCCCAATCAGAGGCAACGAGTGTCAGCTGTGGCTGGTTGTCTCTGATTGGGAGCCATATTTAAACTGTCGGTTTTCCCTTAGTGTTTGTGGGATCTTGTTTCTAGTCTGTTTATGTTAGACCGTGAACTGTCACGTATCGTTTGTTGTTTTTGATCGTGTCTCTAAATAAAGAGTATGTTTGCCTGCAACACTGCGCCTTGGTCCTCATCTGTTCTAGACGATTGTGACAGAAGATCCCACCAAGACTGGACCAAGCAGCGTGTCCAGGAGCCATCGCCAGGGAGTTCTCTAGCAGATCTCCTTCGCCTCCTGGACTGGGTCAAGCCGGGTGAGGAAGAGAAGGGCCGGACTTGGAAGCAGAAGGGCGAAAGTCTGGCGAGGGACATGGAGACCTGGTCCACGGGTAGGAGAGACGCCCAGAAAATTTTTAGGGGGGGGCTAACGTCGTGGACGACGGGCCAGCAGGAGACCGCGACAGTGCGGCCCAGCGGGTTGGCAGAGGAGGCCGCCAGGTTACGGGGGCCACTGGTCGAAGAGGGGATGGAAGGTGTAGAGGCACGGCGAGAGGTACTGGGGTGTGTTACCAGTCCGGTCCGGCCCATTCCAGATCCCTGCGTAGGGCCAGTGGTGTGTGTCTCCAGCCCTGTCCAGCCTGTTCCTACTCCACGCACCAAGCCTACGGTGTGCGTCGCCAGCCCGGTCCGGCCTGTCCCTGCTCCTCGCACCAAGCCAGGGGTGCGCATCGTCAGCCCGGTCCGGCCCGTTCCTACTCCATGCACCAAGCCAGGGGTGCGCATCGTCAGCCCGGTCCGGCCCGTTCCTACTCCACGCACCAAGCCAGGGGTGCGCATCGTCAGCCCGGTCCGGCCCGTTCCGGCTCCACGCACCAAGCCAGGGGTGCGTGTCGTCTGTCCAGCACAACCCGTGCCTGGGTCACCGGTGCCTGGTAAGGTACCGGTCAGCGGCTCCACACTGGAGCCAAAGCGGTCCGCTTCTACGATGTCCGGTCCAGCTCCAGCCTGCGGGGCCAGACCGGACCAGGGGCACCACGGGGGGATGGTGGAAGGGTGGTGGTCAAGCCCGGAGCCGGAACCGCCCCCGAGGAGGAATGCCCACCCAGCCCTCCCCTGGTTTGTGTACGTTTAGGCGCGGTCGCAGTCCGCGCCTTTAGGGGGGGGGGTACTGTCACACCCTGGCTCTGGGACTCTATATGTTGAGCCAGGGTGTGTATATTCTATATGTTTCATTTCTTTGTTGGCCTGAGTGACTCCCAATCAGAGGCAACGAGTGTCAGCTGTGGCTGGTTGTCTCTGATTGGGAGCCATATTTAAACTGTCGGTTTTCCCTTAGTGTTTGTGGGATCTTGTTTCTAGTCTGTTTATGTTAGACCGTGAACTGTCACGTATCGTTTGTTGTTTTTGATCGTGTCTCTAAATAAAGAGTATGTTTGCCTGCAACGCTGCACCTTGGTCCTCATCTGTTCTAGACGATCGTGACAGACCATGGTGATTTCAATATTGTTTGTTTAAAGCTATCAAAACTAGAGACCTTTTCAGATCATGGGTGGTCTTGTTGCACTACAGTTAATCAGGAGATGAAGAAGGGAATCTCATGGTATAGCTGACCCTGCTCAATTCTGATTAATTTAGGATTTTAGACAAATCTGACGGAGTTGACCAAAACTCTGAACACATTTTGTAGGAATCACAGTTTTGAGAGAAATATTCCTCAAAGTCATCGATGGGTATTGCAAGAAACTACATATGATACTTCTCCAGTTAATATTCATTTTTGCCAGTTATTAGAATTTTTAACACTTTTTGATGGAGTTTGAAATTGTGATACTTTGCACCAGACAAGGGCATTTCCTGGCAGAGAGCTGACATGGAAATTAATACATTTTAAAATATTTGGAAAATTACAAAAACACATATTTTCCACAATAAAATTCCCCTAAATGTTATTTTTAAGAGCAAATATTGAAACAAAATTTACTTTTTTCAACTATAAAAATGAAATTTCCCTGCCAGACAAGGATTGTCCCGACTTTCAAGAATCCCTGCTCTCTGAAATGAAATTATTAGATTTTGTGGTCCTCTGTAGCTCAACTGGTAGAGCACGGCACTTGAAACGCCAAGGTAGTGGGTTCGAGCCCCGGGACCACCCATACACAAAATTGTATGCATGCATGACTGTAAGTCGCTTTGGACAAAAGCGTCTGCTAAATGGCTTATTATTATTTTTAAAGAAATTGTCACGACATCCTCCGAAGCTGCCTCCTCCTTGTTCTGGAAGGCTTCGGCGTTCGTCGTCACCGGCCTTCTAGCCACTGCCGCTCCATATCTCATCATTCCATTTGTCTTGTCTTGTCAATTACACACACCTGGTTCATATTCCCCTCATTAGTACGTGTTTAAGTGTTCCCTCTGCCCCCTAGTGGGTGATTGATCATTGTGAGGATTAGTAGCTAGGTTGAGCTCAGTATTTTGTATTGCCGGGGTATTTTCCCCGTGTGCATGTTTGTTCCAGTGCGCCTGTTTTGCGCACTGGACTGGTTACGCTGGATTACGGAAAAAACTCTGTATACTGTGATTTACCCTCCTGCGCCTGACTCCTTCAAATCACGAATCACACAAATTCATGTGTGTCATTGAACAACCCCCATGACATGATTAGATAGTGAAAAAAACACACCAAACTCTTTCATAATTTCTTAACCCTCCCATTGTCCTAGGGTCAAAATGACCCGCCACTGTGTTGAACCAACTTTATTAAATTTTTATATTTTTTGGATCATTTGTGAGAAGGAGGCAGTGATACTTTCTTTAAAGTCAATATAAAAATTTAATAAAGTTGGTTCAACACAGTGGCGGGTCATTTTGACCCTAGGACAACGGGAGGGTTAAAACAACATTTGTGTTTGGGTTAATGTATTTTATTATAGAGCACTTTGCTAGTACTTTTCCCTCCCACAAGTCTCTGTTTTTGACACTGGTGTTTCATGGGTGTGGTATAATTCTCAAGGGCATGGCAGGGATATGAAACTGTCACAGGTATTATTCCACACAACAATTTACTTCCCGGACCACTATCTCACAAACGTGTTTGTGCCCGTATGCCCGTGTGTTCCCCTGTGTGTGTGTGTGTGTGTTCAGTTCAACCAGCCCTTCTCGGGCTGTGACAGACTATACCCCCAGTCAGCTCCCAGGCCTTGAGATAAGGCTAACTCAAGGTCTCAGATCAGATCATCAGGCCCTGTTTGCTTGGCACTCGTCTAAACATACCACAACTTCGCTTGCACAATATTCCCTGTAAACATAGTTTTTCTCTATTGATGATTATCATGGGAAAGAGCGAGACGTCAGGGAGAGCTTTCATTCCAAGACAAGTGATTGTTTTTAAAACCAAGGCATTTATCATGATCTGTCCATATGAGAGAAACTGTTCTTGTATTTCATTGTTTGTTTCAATCATTAGTAGTGTTGGAGAAGCTACTCTGAAAATATAGTTTACCAAGCAAGCAATTACTAGAAGTTAAGCTACTCTTAACAAAAATATATTTTATTTAACACTACATCCAAACTACTTTATGATAAATAATAATATCTAAATGTCATAGATGACAGATTGAAAGAGCAGATCACTCTGGAGTCAAAACAGAATGTCTAATTTCAAGTGAAAATTAGACAGGTCTGATGTCGAAAAACAAAGGAAATTCTTGCCTATTTCACCCATATTTTATTTTATTTTTGCAAAAAAGGTAGTGTATAGTTCCAGTAGTTCCAGTAGCTACACCACCACATGCTAAAGTACAGTAATTAACACTCCCAATATTTGAATGAAGTTCAACTACCACCAAGCTACTGCAAAATGTAGTTAAATTACTGGTTGAACTACATGTAGTTCACTACTACCTAACACAGTATGCAGCCCAGCATGTTTTCCCTGCCAGAATCACAATGTTCTGACATTGAACTATGTACAGACTTTCTCCCTCATGTGATTTTCTAGCTCTGTGACCTGTTTCATGGACATGTTTGAAATATCTCTAACCCAGAGTTTCTCTGTCCTTCCTCGTCAAACAACTGAACACAAACAATGCATACGAACATCTGCGCACACACACACACACACACACACACACACACACACACTTACACACAGGAGATAATTACAGTCTCTATTGTTCTGGTTAAGGTCCATGATGTGACTCATGAAATCTGATGACAACTATTTTAGTTTGAAGGAGGAGATTTCAACCTCCAAGAGACCGCATACAAGCTCCTCATCAACATCCCTGTTTAACCTGTTTATGTGTTAATCTGTTTTATTCACTGATTTACTGTAAATATTATTGAAGTGTTTCTCACATGATCCAACATGAGTCGACAGATGTTCTTTATTTTGTCCACCAGGTGGTATATAGAGTAATCCTATCCATCGTGTTGGCTTGTTGATAAAGTTCCTGATTTGAAAGAGGGATAAGCCTATAAAGTTAAATAATTGGCACATCTACGTAAAACATACAGCCAGGTGACTGATGATGACATCTCTAAAGCGTAAAGACGTCACTGTAAGTGATGGTTTGTTTTGTCTCCTTTGTGAAGGCCATTCACAGTTGCAGACACTGGTCAACATTTTTTTTTTAAACGTTGAATTTGAGTCTAATGGAAACAATGAAGTACACGGTAATTCTAAAAGCCTATGAAAAAAGTTAAAGACAAATACATCTCTCACTTCAGGCTCCTGTTTCGTTCCATCCCAAACTGGCACAAAAAGGTGACATAAAATGTCACCACTCTCAACAGAGCAAACTTGGTCTTATTTTACCTTCTGTGGGTTATGTAAAGTACAGTGTGATATTAACACTCAAGAGCCAAACGCTTGTCTAAGAACATACCATTACAGCACAGAGCGAGCTATGGCATATGACCTAACCTACAATTTCAGCACAGACCGAGCCAGCCTCTGAGTTACGTATATGTACAGTACCTACCATCTCTGATTGGATTGACTGTCCAATCGCTGTTTGGTAAACTGGCCTAATAGAGGCCTGACGATCCTGAATGCGACCTAATTCCTCCACTTCTGGCTATGTTGCCACATAGGTCATTAATAATTAAGTGGTTCGTTAGACTAACAGTTTTATAGCTGGCCTTATAATAGCCTAAGCTATAGGACATGAATTAGTGTGGGAGGTCAACACACAGCATAGCCTCAATTATTTTAATCAAATAGTGGATTAAAGCAATGTTATTCTGAAATATTGGTAATACCAAAATGGATGTTCTTTCTAGGCCTGCAGTACAGTAGGTCATGTCATGTGACCCATGTCAACCTGCTATAATTTGCAAGTTGCCCTGTGTTTGTTTGAACCCACAGTTGGAGATAGTGTACCAGTCAGCGTACCAAAGTCCAGGTTTGCATCATAACCAGACAGGTCATCTGTCTCAGCCATCCCCTCTGTCATGAAACACCCACCCACATCATGCATGGTGAGTTTGGACTTTGACTCTCCACAAGAGCATCACTGTGACAGTGTTGAGAACACTGCATTGGAATTTGACCATTCAATTTGGGGGGTGATTGGGCAGTGACCAGAGGCGAAGCCATGGCAGGGCCAGTCTGGGTAGAGGCCCTTCAAGATTGAACACTGGCCCACCCAATCAGGATGGCTTCAAATATATAACAATTAAAATGAAATACATTAATTTTATTTGCTGTTTGTATTGTCTCCTGACTAATCAGACATTTTGAAAAATGTAGTAGGAGGTTCCTGGGATCTAATGTAATATCGCAATCATATGGTACCACAACCCCCCCCCCCCCCCACCCCTAACCCCAACACACCTGTCTATATAAGGTACCACAGTTGAAAGTGCATGTCCGAGCAAAAACCAAGCCATGAGGTCGAAGAAATTGTCCGTAGAGCTCTGAGACAGCATTGTATCGAGGCACAGATATGGGGAACGGTACCAAAAAATTTTTGGCAGCATTGAAGGTCCCAAGAACAAACTGAGCAATCGGGGGAGAAGGGCCTTGGTCAGGGAGGTGACCAAGAACCCAATGGTCACTTTGACAGAGCTCCAGAGTTCCTCTGTGGAAATGGGAGAATCTTCCAGAAGGACAGCCATCTCTGCAGCCCTCCACCAATCAGGCCTTTATGTTAGAGTGGCCAGACGGAAGCCACTCCTCAGTAAAAGGCACATAACAGCCTGTTTGGAGTTTACCAAAAGGCACCTAAAGGACTCTCAGACCATGAGAAACAAGATTCTCTGGTCTGATGAAACCAAGATTGAACTCTTTGGCCTGAATGCCAAGTGTCAAGTCTGGAGGAAACCTGGCACCATCCCTACGGTGAAGCATGGTGGTGGCAGCATCATGCTGTGGGGATGTTTTTCAGCTGCGGGGACTGGAGAGACCTGAAAATAGTTGTGCAGCGACGCTCCCCATCCAACCTAACAGAGCTTGAGAGGATCTGCAGAGAAGAATGGGAGAAACTCCGCAAATACATGTGTGCCAAGCTTGTAACATCATACCCAAGAAGACTTGAGGCTGTAATCGCTGCCAAAGGTGCTTCAACAAAGTACTGAATACTTATGTGAATGTGATGTTTTCTGTTTTTTATATGTTCGATTCAAAGTGAGCTACTGTATTCATACCCACCTTGATATTAGGCTATGTATGATGATTTCATGTTTTCATGCCTGGCTGGGCAGGCCATGTTTGCTGATTCAAGTGAGCTAATCATAAATGAATTATGTATAATGATGTCATGTTTTTATGCCTGAGTGACTATACTGTAGCGTTTGCTTATTCAAAGTAAGCTATTCATTTCATTCCTGCCATACAGTTCAAGATATAGGCCTAAAGTATTTGTATTGTATTGTGTGTGGCTGTTTTCATATGGCAAAAAGTGTGGTCTTTTGGGCTTAATGAAAACACCTTCACGGCTTTCTATTCTTCCTTGCTTATTTATGCCATAAGCTGTTTGCGCATATTCCAATCCAGTGCTGAGCTGGTGTCTGGCCGATGCGCTGACAATGGTCCTGAATCCACCTGTTGTTCCTGTGCTGTAGATCTCTCACGCTCTCTCTGCCTCTCTGAATATGTAGGTGATAGACATGTTGTATATTTCATTATGTCGGACTAGGACAGTGGGCCTGTTTTGTCAGCGGTGTTGTTGTAAGCGTTGTGTTGTTGCACAGTTGTGCACTTGCACTGACTACTTGGCAGTAATAACGGGCTCGTTTGTAAAGGGAAATTTGTGGTGTTTCTTGGTCACATTTATCCTGTGTTATGTGTTAAATTATGCAATGTGAATGCACAAATTTTCACTTAAATATGTCGGGGGAATTTGTGCTGTATTTTTGCTGGAAAATGTTGGCCCAGCCACTTTTACTTATGCCCAGCCACACATACATTTATGCCTACACTGCTGGCAGTGACATTGAGAATTAGTTGACAATATCAATCCATCTCCTCTAAAATATTGAAATATGAAATATAAGAATAGCGTATCTGAATGTCAAGTCAATTAGGTAATACACAGCATGTTTAGTTTTCATACCTGCAGTAGGCAACTGAATGAGTGTGTGTGAGAGAGAGAGAGAGATACAGTTCTCTATGGCGAACAGAAAAAACTGAAACTACCCAAAATAATGAATGGTCTGTATAGGAATTTACCACATGATGACTGCTATCTTTCGTTCCGATTGGTCGTCTGACATAGACACACCGCGTCACACGTTGTCTTATGCAACCTGAGTGCCACATGATTTTATAGCAGACCTTGGACAAAGCCGGTCTACGCAGGGAGTCAACGCTTCTCTTCAAACTTTGAGAATTTGCATTACCACAAACCTCGAGCATGGCCAACAAAACCACCCATCTTCTTTTCCGGGCACTGGTTGAGATGTCTGAAGTACACTCTTCAAAAGTTGTACGAGGAAATCCCAACAGAGCAAATATAAGGTAAGAGCAAAAATGCCGGTGAGCAATCCTCCAGCAAGTTTGCAGCAACCGGCGACGTGTAGACTATTTTGATCATTCACCAACTGTCAATACAACGCAAATGACATTTTTTTACATAACAAAATACGTTTTAAATCTGCGATGTTCGTGTAAAATGTAGGCCTAGGTCGCTCCCCCATAGGGTCTGCATTGGGCAGCAGAGAGGTAGGGGATAAACGAACAAAATAAGAAACAATTGTTTATTTATTTATTTATATATATATATATATATATATATATATATATATATATATATATATATATATATATATATATATATATATATATATATATATATTCAAGAGAAAATTAAGCTGGATTTCCGGTTACAATTAAAGTTGGTCAAATCTGAGCTAATTTGGAACAAATAAAATAGTGCAGTACAATTGAACATGTTAAATTCATAAGCACGAATAAGAATTTTATATAGAAAATTCTATTTTTCCAAATGGAGAAAGTTTCTATTACAAAGTGACGATGCACATCTCGCGATTGATAACATTTTTAAAAGCTAAAATACAACTTTAGCATAATTATACACCTTAGAATATATGGTTTCTAGTAGGCTACAGAATTAGAAAATGGCTGTTTTATTTTAGATAGGCCTACTACATAGTGGAAGTTATTGAGCTTTTGAAAGGGTTTGATCTGATCTCATTGTTTTAAGTCTGGGATTTAAACACACCATCAGACTATTTTCACCAAACTGGGACAAAATAATGTAGATCGTTTTTGTTATGATACTTTAAAACTGTTATTTTCTTCTGGAGTTTGAAAAGATTGACTATCAAACAAAAAAGTCACCACGGCAGGTGGCTAAAACTATCTGAGCATAAGACCATTGTGCTTTACCACAGATTAACACATCATTTTCTCCCTCTCCTCCTCCTCCCAGACACCTGGGCACCTGTGGGGCCTTGTCAGCACGGCGTGCCACCCTGCCCCTGTCCTCCCCCCTCCTTCGGTCTACACCCTCCCGCAACTTCATTAACCTGGCTGCCGCCATCATTGCCCGCAGGATGGAGTACTCTGAGAGCCGCACACTAGGGTGAGACGTCATCACACACACAACTCCTCTCTGCCCCTCTGATTCTAAAGCCCCACCTTTCTATTCTCAACTCCAATAACCTTCAGTTAACATGTGGTTGGATTGAAATAGACCTGAGCATATTGTATCTTTACTATATCACAGGCCAATGTTTATTCCTGTCTTATTTTTTTTAAGTGGACCTGAGTAGTCCTATGAGCATCTTCTTGATGGATCGCCCTCTCCTTCCCCATCCAGGTACACTCCAGAGCAGATGTACAGGGTTGTGGCCAGTGTGGACCAGTACCAGCACTTTGTCCCTTGGTGTAAGAAGTCCCGGGTCGTGAAGGGAAGGAACGGGGATGTCCGGGCCCAGCTGGAGATTGGGTTCCCCCCCATCGTGGAGCGTTACACCTCGGAGGTCACGGTTGTCCCAAACCGCCAAGTCAAGGTAAGCCCCAATAACATGGTACAACACGGTTTATAGCAAGGAGAGGGTAGACACCCTGTATCAATATGAAAATTGTGCCCTATTTAGAGTGCCTTCAGAAAGTATTCATACACCTTGACTTGTTCCACATTTTGTTGTTACAACCTGAATTCAAACCGGATAAAAAATTATAATAATGATCATCCATCTACACAGAATACCCCATAATGACAAAGTGAAAACATTACATTTTTGCACATATTGAAAATGAAATGCAGAAAATCTCATTTACATAAGTCAATAAGTGTTAGAATCGCCTTTGGCAGTGATGACAGCTGTGAGTCTTACTAGGTAGTAAGTCTCTAAGAGCTTTGCACACCTGGATTGTACAATATTTGCACATTATTATTTTCAAAATTCTTCAAGCTCTGTCAAGTTGGTTGTTGATCATTGCTAGACAGCCATTTCCAAGTCTTGCCATATATTTTCAAGGCGATTTTAAGTCAAAACTGTAACTCGGGCAATCAGGAACATTCACTATCTTCTTGGTAAACAACTCCAGTGTATATTTGGCCTTGCGTTTTATGCTATTGTCCTGCTGAACAGTGAATTTGTCTCCCAGTGTCTGTTGGGAAGCAGACTGAACCAGGTTTTCCTCTAGGATTTTGCCTGTTCTGAGCTCTATTCCGTTTCTTTTTATCCTAAAAAAGTCCCTAGTCCTTGCCGATGACAAGCATACTCATAACATGATACAGCCACCACCATGCTTGAAAATATGAAGAGCGGAACTCAGTGATGTGTTGTGTTGGATTTGCCCCAAACATAACGCTTTGTATTCAGGACATAAAGTTCATTTCTTTGCCACTTTTTGCAGTTTTACTTTAGTGCCTTATTGCAAACAGGGTGCATGTTTTGGAATATTTTTATTCTGTACAGGCTTCCTTATTTTCACTCTGTCAATTAGGTTAGTATTGTGGAGTAACTACAATGTTGTTGAACCATCCTCCGTTTTCTCCTATCACAGCCATTAAACTCTCTAACTACCAATAGTTGCCCTTTTGTGAGGCATTGGAAAACCTCCCTGGTCTTTGCGGTTTAATCTGTTTGAAATTCACTGCTTGACTGAGGGACCTTACAGATAATTGTATGTGTGGGGTACAGAGATGAGGTAGCCATTCAAAAATCATGTTAAGCACTATTATTGCACACAGTGAGTCCATGCAACTTATGTGCCTTGTTAAGCAAATGTGTACTCCTGAACTGATTTAGGCTTGCCATAACAAAGGGGTTGAATACTTGACTCAAGACATTTCAGCTTTAAGTTTTTTATTAATTTGTACACATTTCTAAAAACGTAACGCTACTTTGACATTATGGGGTATTGTGTGTTGGCCAGTGACACAATCTCAATTTAATACATTCCAAATTCGGGCTGTAACACAACAAAATGTGGATAAAGTCAAGGGGTGTGAATACTCTCTGAAGAATATCGTGTACTGTGGAATTTCAGTACTGTAACTTGTGGGATTCAAATGTACAATGGGACCAGGTGAATGGGTTAAATCGTCTGTAATACATTGATTAGATCCTCCTAGGGGATAAATACAACATAGTTTTTTTGATCACCTAGCTGCTAACATTGTGCTCCTCCGTCCATAGAGCAAGGATTAGAGAGGCTTTGTCTGGGGCCATGTCCTGGACAAGAGCAGTGTGTAATGATGAGTGTGCATGTTGCCTCACAGGCCGTGTGTACAGACGGATCCCTCTTCAGCCACCTGGAGACGCTATGGAGGTTTTCCCCTGCTGAGGACCAACCAGACTCCTGCAACATCGAGTTCCATGTGAGCACCGCCATTTTGTCCACCAGAACAGATCACTTTTATTTGGTGTCAGCCTGAGACTAAAAGTCAGCAAGATTAGATAATAGCCCACTGAAGTACAGATCGTCTTAGTGTAGTTAACAATCATGAATGATACACCAGTGTTACATCGGTCTACTCACACCAACATGAATGATTACTAATGAACTTTAGGGCTTCAGATCAAATTGCCTGCCAGGGGGGTAGTTTTACACCAGGCCTTGCATTTCTCTCAACCTCTAAAGAGATTATTTTTTGGAAGGAAGACGTTGAGTAAAGCCAATTAGGTTTTATTTATATCAAGTTTGGTTGTGTTAGTGTTCCTAGCCTCTTGACATAGCTGTCCAGAGAGGTCATAGCGAAATCTCTCCCTGTCAGGGACTTTGTGACCCAAATATTGGGACAGGTTACCTGTAGTGGAAACGGGGCGAGGGATTTGGGAGATGGAGGACAGACTGTCTTTTGGACAGGCTCATTAAGAAATGCCTTAGGATGACTTGGCAGGAATAATGAATAGTGTGGAGTGGAATGAGTTCATTCTCAGTCAGTCAGCCAGCCATTAAATCAGGAATACAGACGGTGGTCCCTCGTTTGGATATGAGGACTGTCCTCAAAGGAAACAATATTCCTCAGATGGATAGGTACACTTGTGTCAGCAGCATGGTTATGGCATTTGAGAGTACTTATTATTTTCTCCCCTTCACTCTTCAGGTATCCTTCGAGTTCAGGTCCCTGCTGCACTCCCAGCTGACCACCTTGTTCTTTGACGAGGTGGTGAAGCAGATGGTGAACGCCTTTGAGTCACGGGCAGCCAAACTATACGGGGGCCACCACGCCCCCCTCCAGGAGGCGCTAGCAAGGAGGCGAGCAGCATGAGGAGACCCCTACCTGGCCCCCCACTCATGGACTGAAATAAGACCCGCTCCCTACCACCATCACCACCTGAAACCCCTCACCACTCAATTTCAACATGGTAGTGCCTTATGCAGGAGACTGGGTCTTCTCTTTTGGATTTTGTTCTTATGTACACAAAAGCACATTTATTTGCACTACAGAAACTTTAATTTATTTACTTGAATGTATATACTATTTTTATTTGGGATGGAAGTGGATGTTTGTTGTCAAATGTTCATGTTTGAAAGGGACCTTCTTATTTAAGTTACAGAAGATGAACTGACTCCTTTGCGGTGTTCCAAAACATCTGAGAGGTCAGCTTTTTCCTCACCGACACGAATATGATGTTTTTGGTGTGTGAATGGAAAATTAAAAAGCTCATATTTTGCTAAACTCTTTGTGCCTCATGCATTTATTTTGTATGTGTTGTCAACTGCGTGTCTTCTGTTCATTGTTGATTACTGTAATTGTCAAGACGGCGCTAGGTGAAAGTTGGTAGGATCACAGATGTGTAGAAAGTATTGTTTCAATAGCAAAGGGAACAACTCTGCTCCAGTTAGAGAAAGTTGTCCGGTAGGAGACCTGTTCTCTTACTGTCTACCAATGTTCTGTTGAGTCAGGACAGTTCCAGGAAGGCACATGACTTGAGAATTAGTTACGTAAGAGCCAGGAAGGAGCAAAAGACCTGAAGACAGGGTGAACTCCTCCCTCCCACTTCCTCACTGTTAAACCACAGCCAATCCAGACTTATGAACATTTTCAGAAAAAGCTTTCTGTTGTGTATCAAATTGTGAGAATGTGGATACTGGCTTGCCTTGGCAGTTGGGGTAGTTTTCAGTTGAGAAAGTGCTCTGGGGGTAACTAAAGACCATAATCTTAGTTTGCATTTTGTATTTTTGAGTCCTTGAAAAGTAATACAATTTAATATCAGTGAGTCTACTGCTTGTGATTTAGGAATGCCACGGGACAGGCCCCCTATAGTGCTAGGTCTGCCTTTCACGTCAGCTGGCAGAGACATGGAGAGAGAGGCTGGTAGTGAGCCAGACCAGTGCCTCAGTCACACTCAGATGCTGCTAGCTCAGCTGTTCTGTAGTCAGCTACAACAGATTTATCACAAGCATCACACCCTCCCTACCCCAGTGTTTTTATATAATTAGCAAGGTATTAATTTAACACACCCGAATGGTGGGGTACTCCTCGACGTAAAAGACCACAGACGAAAGATGAGACATGGCCCAGCTGCATATTTTAATAAGCTGTGAAGTTGCATATGAGGCAAGGAAGGTCATAGTGTATGTCAACCCAACAGGTTTAAACTGACTTGCCACTTTTTAGGCTATTTGCCAATATATTAATGACAGTCATTTAATTTAAACCCTGCAGCATATTGCAATGTTAAAACACTTTTGGCATAATTTGATGGATTGATTTAGTTAAACCATCTGACCTAGTCTACCTCGGGTTGAAAGAACATCTTTATGACCCCCCCCCCCCCCCACCACCAACCTAGATGCCTTGTTTTATCCCAATGGGGGTGCATTACCAAAATAAATGTAATGGTGGCCTTAACCATTTATCCTCTCATAACTGGTTCAAAAAACATTATGTAGTTCTACAGTATCAAGTACAGGACTGTACTGTTAGAATCCACTTTTCTCAGCCAGTATGTGTCAAATCAAGCCTCTGAAAAAGCCCCACATTGACTTCTCTTCCTCTGATGAATAGGCTGCTCTCTAGTGGACTAATGATCATGGTGCATTAAATGCATTAAGAATAAAAACATTAAATACATGACACAAAATCAACTACTTCCATCAAAACATACAACATCTAATGAAAAGTTATTTCAATCAATCATTACACAATGGCCCAATAAATACTAACTACAACTATCAAAATACCCTAACATGGTTAACCCTCTTTTATACGTCTTTGCTATTTGTTGATACTATAATTATAGTATGCACAATAAAAGGCAAGTAAATTATATTATCACAGCATGGGCTGTATTCTTTGGTCCTAAAATGATTTTACCAAAGATATCCAATGCAGGAAGAATGACACTCAAGAGCATGAATATCCAGAAACAAAAGGCTTTGTTTGACCTTTTTCCATTTTAACTGAGAGCTGAACTATCTTCCTCTATGAGACCCTCTACCTTTCCTTTGCCCTTGCCCTTGCAAGGGCAAAGGAAGTGTGTTCAGCACTTCTCAGACAAATAGTTCCTACTTCCTGATGGCATATTTATAAAGAGGAAGACTGGGCTGAGAAACAATACAGAACCATACTTCAGGAAAGGTTTCAGAAGAACATGAGTTTGAGAATGAAGGGTATTGCACTCTTTTTGCTGGCACTATGCTGCTGTCTGTCTGGGACACAGGGTCAGGGAGACCACGAGGACCAGAAAGCATGCTGCCCATCTGACACTGGTTCTCTGATGAAAGAACTGATATCTATAGGAGAGAAACTAGGAGCCATGGGGGAGAAACTGGGAACTATGGGGGATAACCTGAGACTCATGGAGACCCGGTTACAAACCAGTGAGAATGAAGTGGAGGAGCTGAAGAGACTAACTGGAGGTAATATAGCCCTTTTCACATTTGTCACCAACCTCCTATCCACCCATTGCTTCTCTGTCTATTATAGGGATTATCCTATATTTAACTTTCTAACAGCTTCTGATCTTTGAATACATTATTACAACTGATATGATATACAGTTCAATATAGATCATCTTATCCATCCTGTATCTCTCTCAGGCCGGCCTCAGGTGGCCTTCTCCGCAACTCTCCGGGAGACAGGCAATAGGAACACTGGACCTTTCACCACTCCCATTCCCCTGCAGTACAAGAAGGTCTTCTCAAACACTGGCAGCTCCTACAACCCTGCCACAGGTACTAGATATTCTGTGTGTGTGTTGCATCATGTTGTGTGGTGTTGTGAAACTAAAAGCTATGTCCCTACAGGTATCTTCACTGCAACGGTCAAAGGAATGTACTTCTTCCGTTTCTCAATGATGAACAACCTGAATGACACTCCTAATTCTGTGGTGTGCTTGACCAAGAATGGGCAGAGGCTGGTGTCTGTCTGGGACACTGCAGGATCTGATGCCAATGACATTGGCAGCAACGCGGTGGTCATTCCTCTGGAGGTGGGAGATAATGTCTATGTTGAGTTGCAGGCTAACAGGCTGGTCTATGATGACGAGATGAACTACAACACCTTCAGTGGCTTCTTGCTCTTCACCATGTAAACATGGAACACATTTCAACAGCTAAATGGTTAAAATTACTTTATTTTCGTTAGTAGACATACAATAGTAATCTCTGCTTCATAGAACACTGTGGGGTTAAAATGCAGTGCAATAATGTATAAGAATATGCTGTCATCAGGTGGACATGTAACTGTATAAATATATACAAAATCTATTGATTCTAGACGTAACTAAACATATTTGTACAGTAATGCTTCACTGAAGTGAAAAAATTTAATAACTTTTACTATATGTACATGAACTTACATCTGTCAATAAACTTTTAACCATTCATGAAAAAACATGAATTTACTATTAAGATACTTACTCTTAGTATGTGCACAGTAGTCCTACTCCTAAGTGCCATAACTCATGTCTGAATTCCCCCTAACTGAACTGGGTATTATATTGATCATGGTGAGGTACATTTGAAAGGAAGATACATGCATTTCAAAATGGATTTTCCAAGATACTGACAAAGTAAACTCAATTTATGAAGACCCTGTCAATCACATTTAATGTGTATGTAAATAAGTGAAAAATAAAAAGTGATTGTCACGTCAAATAATGTCCTGTAATCATATGAGTGTCAATTGACAGGGTATTTATTTCAATCATACGTTTGACATAAAAGTTAGTTGTGGACAGGGGTTTCAGATCTGAAATAAGTGTTTCCCATGTACAATCATGAAAGAACAGTAATGTAGGGAGAGACAGAGGGCAGAGGTCATGGAGGCACATAAAGCATAGAGATCTGCATGGTTTATGATTATGTTATAAGCTAAATACTAAACACGTTTACATTTCTTAAGTGACCTTTAAATGCCTTGCTGACTTTAAGCTTCTCTTTTCTCTATTTTTTTAAAAGCAGGTCCATTTATTTGTCTTTTTGCGCAAGTCTGTATTTTCCCTATCTGTTAACCACCCAAAAAGTTTCCAGCATCTTGTGCAATATTTGACAAGTGCACCATTTAAAGCGAAAGACTGGTCTGAGAAACAATACAGAATGATGCTGCAGGAAAGCACATTTATTTGCACTACAGAAACTTTAATTTATTTACTTGAATGTATATACTATTTTTATTTGGGATGGAAGTGGATGTTTGTTGTCAAATGTTCATGTTTGAAAGGGACCTTCTTATTTAAGTTACAGAAGATGAACTGACTCCTTTGCGGTGTTCCAAAACATCTGAGAGGTCAGCTTTTTCCTCACCGACACGAATATGATGTTTTTGGTGTGTGAATGGAAAATTAAAAAGCTCATATTTTGCTAAACTCTTTGTGCCTCATGCATTTATTTTGTATGTGTTGTCAACTGCGTGTCTTCTGTTCATTGTTGATTACTGTAATTGTCAAGACGGCGCTAGGTGAAAGTTGGTAGGATCACAGATGTGTAGAAAGTATTGTTTCAATAGCAAAGGGAACAACTCTGCTCCAGTTAGAGAAAGTTGTCCGGTAGGAGACCTGTTCTCTTACTGTCTACCAATGTTCTGTTGAGTCAGGACAGTTCCAGGAAGGCACATGACTTGAGAATTAGTTACGTAAGAGCCAGGAAGGAGCAAAAGACCTGAACACAGGGTGAACTCCTCCCTCCCACTTCCTCACTGTTAAACCACAGCCAATCCAGACTTATGAACATTTTCAGAAAAAGCTTTCTGTTGTGTATCAAATTGTGAGAATGTGGATACTGGCTTGCCTTGGCAGTTGGGGTAGTTTTCAGTTGAGAAAGTGCTCCGGGGGGTAACTAAAGACCATAATCTTAGTTTGCATTTTGTATTTTTGAGTCCTTGAAAAGTAATGCAACTTAATATCAGTGAGTCTACTGCTTGTGATTTAGGAATGCCACGGGACAGGCCCCCTATAGTGCTAGGTCTGCCTTTCACGTCAGCTGGCAGAGACATGGAGAGAGTGGCTGGTAGTGAGCCAGACCAGTGCCTCAGTCACACTCCGATGCTGCTAGCTCAGCTGTTCTGTAGTCAGCTACAACAGATTTATCACAAGCATCACACCCTCCCTACCCCAGTGTTTTTATATAATTAGCAAGGTATTAATTTAACACACCCGAATGGTGGGGTACTCCTCAACGTAAAAGACCACAGACGAAAGATGAGACATGGCCCAGCTGCATATTTTAATAAGCTGTGAAGTTGCATATGAGGCAAGGAAGGTCATAGTGCATGTCGTCTGCACAACCCAACAGGTTTAAACTGACTTGCCACTTTTTAGGCTATTTGCCAAGATATTAATGACAGTCATTTAATTTAAACCCTGCAGCATATTGCAATGTTAAAACACTTTTGGCATAATTTGATGGATTGATTTAGTTAAACCATCTGACCTAGTCTACCTCGGGTTGAAAGAACATCTTTATGACCATCAAAACATACAACATCTAATGAAAAGTTATTTCAATCAATCATTACACAATGGCCCAATAAATACTAACTACAACTATCAAAATACCCTAACATGGTTAACCCTCTTTTATACGTCTTTGCTATTTGTTGATACTATAATTATAGTATGCACAATAAAAGGCAAGTAAATTATATTATCACAGCATGGGCTGTATTCTTTGGTCCTAAAATGATTTTACCAAAGATATCCAATGCAGGAAGAATGACACTCAAGAGCATGAATATCCAGAAACAAAAGGCTTTGTTTGACCTTTTTCCATTTTAACTGAGAGCTGAACTATCTTCCTCTATGAGACCCTCTACCTTTCCTTTGCCCTTGCCCTTGCAAGGGCAAAGGAAGTGTGTTCAGCACTTCTCAGACAAATAGTTCCTACTTCCTGATGGCATATTTATAAAGAGGAAGACTGGGCTGAGAAACAATACAGAACCATACTTCAGGAAAGGTTTCAGAAGAACATGAGTTTGAGAATGAAGGGTATTGCACTCTTTTTGCTGGCACTATGCTGCTGTCTGTCTGGGACACAGGGTCAGGGAGACCACGAGGACCAGAAAGCATGCTGCCCATCTGACACTGGTTCTCTGATGAAAGAACTGATATCTATAGGAGAGAAACTAGGAGCCATGGGGGAGAAACTGGGAACTATGGGGGATAACCTGAGACTCATGGAGACCCGGTTACAAACCAGTGAGAATGAAGTGGAGGAGCTGAAGAGACTAACTGGAGGTAATATAGCCCTTTTCACATTTGTCACCAACCTCCTATCCACCCATTGCTTCTCTGTCTATTATAGGGATTATCCTATATTTAACTTTGTAACAGCTTCTGATCTTTGAATACATTATTACAACTGATATGATATACAGTTCAATATAGATCATCTTATCCATCCTGTATCTCTCTCAGGCCGGCCTCAGGTGGCCTTCTCCGCAACTCTCCGGGAGACAGGCAATGCCGCTGGGAACACTGGACCTTTCACCACTCCCATTCCCCTGCAGTACAAGAAGGTCTTCTCAAACACTGGCAGCTCCTACAACCCTGCCACAGGTACTAGATATTCTGTATGTGTGTTGCATCATGTTGTGTGGTGTTGTGAAACTAAAAGCTATGTCCCTACAGGTATCTTCACTGCAACAGTCAAAGGAATGTACTACTTCCGTTTCTCAATGATGAACAACCTGAATGCCACTCCTAATTCTGTGGTGTGCTTGACCAAGAAAAAACATGAATTTACTATTAAGATACTTACTCTTAGTATGTGCACAGTAGTCCTACTCCTAAGTGCCATAACTCATGTCTGAATTCCCCCTAACTGAACTGGGTATTATATTGATCATGGTGAGGTACATTTTAAAGGAAGATACATGCATTTCTAAATGGATTTTCCAAGATACTGACAAAGTAAACTCAATTTATGAAGACCCTGTCAATCACATTTATGTGTATGTAAATAAGTGAAAAATAAAAAGTGATTGTCACGTCAAATAATGTCCTGTAATCATATGAGTTTCAATTGACAGGGTATTTATTTCAATCATACGTTTGACATAAAAGTTAGTTGTGGACAGGGGTTTCAGATCTGAAATAAGTGTTTCCCATGTACAATCATGAAAGAACAGTAATGTAGGGAGAGACAGAGGGCAGAGGTCATGGAGGCACATAAAGCATAGAGATCTGCATGGTTTATGATTATGTTATAAGCTAAATGCTAAACACGTTTACATTTCTTAAGTGACCTTTAAATGCCTTGCTGTCTTTAAGCTTCTCTTTTCTCTATTTTTTTCAAAGCAGGTCCATTTATTTGTCTTTTTGCGCAAGTCTGTATTTTCCCTATCTGTTAACCACACAAAAGTTTCCAGCATCTTGTGCAATATTTGACAAGTGCACCATTTAAAGGGAAAGACTGGTCTGAGAAACAATACAGAATGATGCTGCAGGAAAGGCTTCAGAAGGCTTTGAGAATGAAGGGTATTGCACTCTTTTTGCTGGCACTATGCTGCTGTCTGTCTGGGACACAGGGTCAGGGAGACCACGAGGACCAGAAAGCATGCTGCCCATCTAACACTGGTTCTCTGATGAAAGAACTGATATCTATAGGAAAGAAACTAGGAGCCATGGGGGATGACCTGAGACTCATGAAGACCCGGTTACAAACCAGTGAGAATGAAGTGGAGGAGCTGAAGAGACTAACTGGAGGTAATATAGCCCTTTTCACATTTGTCACCAACCTCCTATCCACCCATTGCTCCTCTGTCTATTATAGGGATTAGACTATATTTAACTTTCTAACAGCCTCTGATCTTTGAATACATTATTACAACTGATATGATATACAGTTCAATATAGATAATCTTATCCATCCTGTATCTCTCTCAGGCCGGCCTCAGGTGGCCTTCTCCGCAACTCTCCGGGAGACAGGCAATGCCGCTGGGAACACTGGACCTTTCACCACTCCCATTCCCCTGCAGTACAAGAAGGTCTTCTCAAACACTGGCAGCTCCTACAACCCTGCCACAGGTACTAGATATTCTGTGTGTGTGTTGCATCATGTTGTGTCGTGTTGTGTTTTGAAACTAAAAGCTATGTCCCTACAGGTATCTTCACTGCAACGGTCAAAGGAATGTACTACTTCCGTTTCACGATGATGAACAACCTGAATGACACTCCTAAATCTGTGGTGAGCTTGACCAAGAATGGCCAGAGGCTGGTGTCTGTCGGGGACACGGTAGGAACCGATGCCCATGACAGTGGCAGCAACGCAGTGGTCATTCCTCTGGAGGTGGGAGATAATGTCTATGTTGAGTTACTTGCTAACATGCTGATCTATGATGACGGGATGAACTACAACACCTTCAGTGGCTTCTTGCTCTTCACCATGTAAACATGGAACACATTTCAACAGCTAAATGGTTGAAATTACTTAATTTTTTTACAAGGGCTGGATTCAATCCGTATCGCGTTGACATTTAAAGACAATGTTCCCGCGTCGGCGGCGACTGCATTTACAGCAAACGCTGCATATCACGTGTCAATTGGAAATTACCTTTAAAATTTCAAGCACGCTACAGCGCAGATTTTCGCCGATATGGATTGAATCCAGTCCTTAAGTTTGACATAAAATAGTAATCTGTAGCACACAGTGAGGTTATAATGCAGTAGAATGATGTGCTTCCTATCTTTTATTGTCACACTTTCCACAAGGCTGCTGTTCCACTACAAGCCATTCTCTTTCACAAAATAAAATGTGTCATCTGGTGGACATAAGTAACTGTAAAAATAAAAAGCCATTGGCCTTAGAGGCAATTATACATTTTTTGTACAGTAATGGTTCACTGAGAAAAATAAAAAAATAATTCCAAATTCATAGCGGTTACAATACATGCACATTAAACTTACATCTGTCAAATGTTTACCAACCATACTTGGTGCAAAAAGATTCCTTTATTATTAAGACACTTACTTTATTCACAGTAGTCTTAATTCACAGGGTTATTATTTTCTAAACCGTACATATGTCCAAAATAACTAGTAGGACTTAGAGGTTTTCCGATCTGAAATCAGAGAGTTATTTCACAAGAGCCGTAATGTACAGAGTTTAGTGGTTCAAGCGCTATACAACATTTTCTGCAATGTTTGAAAGACATTTCACAAACATGGGTGTCTGAATTTCTGCACATCTGCTTGTTTGTGTTTCGATATGTATTCACAGTTCTGACCAAACCTATTCCTTTACTATGAGTTTGGCTGAACACAGTGCCTCCCCCTGGTCGTTGGTGGCCCTACAGGTGTAAATATCAGAGTCCTCTGGTCCAACTTGGGCCAGGACCAGGGTGCAGAACCCATCCTCTTCATACTCTATCTGCACCCGGGATGACTCCTCCAGAGGCTCCTCACCCCTCAACCACACCACCTCTGGGTCAGGGTACCCTGAAAGGAGAGGTCAGAGGGGTGAGAGAAGGGATCAGAGGGGGAGAGAGAGAGGAAACATCCAATGACAAGAGCTCAGGAAATGGAATGTAACAGTTACACACTAACTACTTAAAGTGTTTTACACAGCACGATGCAGCTGTGCGTCCTTGAGAAAGGGAGTTAGTTAGGCATGATTGCTCTTAATCAATGTCCAACTTTAAAACAAAGCATTTAAAATCTTTACAAGCACCAGCTGAAACTTAGTGAAAATGTGTAATTCGGTCAACCAAACATGTGGAAGCCATTTGTAGTGTAAATCAGTGCACAGGTAGGTACCTGTGAGGTGACAGGAGAGGCGGGCGGTGGAGCCCTGGGAGGCTGTCTGGTCCGTTAGGGTCAGGGAGAACTGGGGCACCCCCTGGAGTTTGACCTCTAGAGACCGCAGGGCCTGCTCTGCCTCGGGACTCAGGAGACTGTCTGTCAGGGGTCAGACACAGGGTCAAGGCTCACAGCAGAGTCATAGACTGGTCAGCCAGACTGAGCACAAGTGAACCAATGGTATGCGTAGCTCCCATCTGGTTGACCGGGCTAACAGGGTCATACATCACGAGGAATGGTAGGGTTACGAGCCTAAAATAAGAGGAGTAAAACTGACATGGTTTGGATTGAGTATGGCAGGCTTTGGAAGTATGGCGGGAGGTCTCACCTTCTGTAGGGGGGGTGGGAGAGCCAGGCCCATCGGCTTTAGACAACAGAGCCATCCTCTTCAGCGCCAGCAGGGCCTTCCCTGTTTTCTACAGGAGATACACAGAGAGGCTTCAGTAAATGGGTTTCACACACCTACTGGGGTATGATTAAATAATGAAAGAACTGAAATGTACTAAAATACAAAGTATAATCTTGGTGGGGAACCCACTACCTACCTTCCACTTCTGCTTGGCGAGGTACCTCTTCATCTTCTCCTTGGAGAGACACTTGGTGGTCCTGGGGTCTGCTGAGATGGGCTCAGCTATCCAGGAGTGGACCAGAGCCTCCTCACAGGATATCCTGCGCCTGGGTGGGGACAGACAGAGAGGGTTAGAGGACAGACCGGGAGGGTTAGAGGGGAGACAGGGAGGGTTAGAGGGGAGACAGGGAGGTTGAGAGGCAAAACAGGGAGGGTTAGAGGGGAGACAGGGAGGTTGAGAGGCAAAACAGGGAGGGTTAGAGGGGAGACAGGGAGGTTGAGAGGCAAAACAGGGAGGGTTAGAGGGGAGACATCGAGGGCAGGTCCTTGAGGGATAGGCTCATCCATAGTCACTCAGAGACTATATATTGGTACAGGTATATGGTGTTGTCCCAGACCTTGGTTCCTTGTTGAGCAGGGAGCTGATGAAGTCTTTGGCCTGGTCAGTGATCTCTTCGAAACTCTCTTCGTCAAACTCCCACTGAGCACCAGTTACCAAGGCCAGGGTCTCTGCCTCACTATTACCCTGGAAGGGAGACTCGCCACTCAGTCTGAACACACACACGTACACGTACACACACGTACACACACGCGCGTTTGAACTTGATATATGAGCAATAGCAATATATGGCCACTAGGTGGCAGAAAAGCTCCAGTTTGTCAAGCCCTGTTATAGGCAGAGAAGAAGAAGGTCTAATCGAGAATGAATGAAACAGAATAGTGCCTTAGTACTCACAATATGTAGCAGATGACTCCAATGCTCCACATGTCTGTAGCTAAGCTAACAGTCTCATAGCCGATCACCTCTGGAGCCACAAACTCTGGTGTCCCGTGCATCACCTTCAGGGGAGTGGAGGGGTCTGGAGGACAGACAACACCTCGGGATAATGAGGTTGCATCCCAAATGGCACCCTATTCCCTACATAGTGCACAAATTTTGAACAGGCCCTTTCTAACAGAGCCCTATGAGCCCTTATCAAAAGTTATTCACTATATAGGTAATAGGGTACCATTTGAGACACAGCCCATACATACAGTGGTATGAAAAAGTATTTGCCCCCTTTCTAATTTTCTCTACTTTTGCATATTTGTGATACTGAATGTTATCAGATCTTCAACCAAAACCTAATATTAGATAAAGGGAACATAAGTGAACAAATAACACAACAATTACATATTTATTTCATAAACAAAGTTATGCAACACCCAATTCCCCTGTGTGAAAAAGTAATTGCCCCCTTACACTCAATAACTGGTTGTGCCACCTTTAGCTGCAATGACTCCAACCAAATGCTTCCTGTAGTTGTTGATCAGTCTCTCACGTCGCTGTGGAGGAATTTTGGCCCACTCTTCCATGCAGAACTGCTTTAACTCAGTGACGTGTGGGTTTTCAAGCATGAACTGCTCGTTTCAAGTCCTGCCACAACATCTCAATTGGGATTAGGTCTGGACTTTGACTAGGCCATTCCAAAACTTCCAATTTGTTGCTTTTTAGCAATTTTCATGTAGACTTGATTGTGTGTTTTGGATCATTGTCTTGCTGCATGACCCAGCTGCGCTTCAGCTTCAGCTCACAGACGGATGGTCTGACATTCTCCTGTAGAATTCTCTGATACAGAGCAGAATTCATGGTTCCTTCTATTAAGGCAAGTCGTCCAGGTCCTGAGGCAGCAAAGCATCCCCAAACCATCACACCACCACCACCATGCTTGACCTTTGGTATGATGTTCTTACTGTGGAATGCAGTGTTTGGTTTTCGCCAGGCATTACTGGAACCATGTCGTACAAAAAGTTATACTTTTGAATCATCTGTCCATAGAACGTTCTTCCAAGAGTCTTGATGATCATCCAGGTGCTTTTTGGCAAACTTGAGTCAACTTTTTGGACGAGATGGGTCCCATTATGCCTGGCGAAAACCAAACACTGCATTCCACAGTAAGAACATCATACCAAAGGTCAAACATGGTGGTGGTGGTGTGATGGTTTGGGGATGCTTTGCTGCCTCAGGACCTGGACGACTTGCCTTAATAGAAGGAACCATGAATTCTGCTCTATATCAGAGAATTCTACAGGAGAATGTCAGACCATCCGTCTGTGAGCTGAAGCTGAAGCGCAGCTGGGTCATGCAGCAAGACAATGATCCAAAACACACAATCAAGTCTACATGAAAATTGCTAAAAAGCAACAAATTGGAAGTTTTGGAATGGCCTAGTCAAAGTCCAGACCTAATCCCAATTGAGATGTTGTGGCAGGACTTGAAACGAGCAGTTCATGCTTGAAAACCCACACGTCACTGAGTTAAAGCAGTTCTGCATGGAAGAGTGGGCCAAAATTCCTCCACAGCGACGTGAGAGACTGATCAACAACTACAGGAAGCATTTGGTTGGAGTCATTGCAGCTAAAGGTGGCACAACCAGTTATTGAGTGTAAGGGGGCAATTACTTTTTCACACAGGGGAATTGGGTGTTGCATAACTTTGTTTATGAAATAAATATGTAATTGTTGTGTTATTTGTTCACTTATGTTCCCTTTATCTAATATTAGGTTTTGGTTGAAGATCTGATAACATTCAGTATCACAAATATGCAAAAGTTGAGAAAATTAGAAAGGGGGAAAATACTTTTTCATAGCACTGTATATCAGTGAACAGAGAGGCAGAAATTTGAGCTCAAAATCTTTTCAGGGACATCATTCATTTTCCAGGTGTTGCAATGCAAACCAACAATGCTTCCAAAACATGCAGCACCATTCAACACCCTTGGCTCTGTCCCTCAGCCAGCCCCACACTCACCCAGCTTGCTGGCCAGGCCAAAGTCAATGATCTTGATGCGCGTGCCAGTGTGGTCAACACACACTATGTTTTCAGGCTTCAGGTCCAGGTGGACTATGTGCTGCTGGTGCATGTAGCCAATCCCCTCTACGATCTGTTGCATGTAGCGTACACTGGCCGGCTCTGTGTGCACAAAGCTGTCGTCCACTATACGCTCAAACAGCTCACCTCCAGCAATGCTGCACACATACACAAACAATCACAGGATCAATAAGGTTGTAATTTAAATTTGATTCAATTCAATTCAAATTAACTCAATTCACATTAGTGACACCGGACCTCATGCATTTACTTCTACAGGGCTCTATGGCTTCCACTGCCATGTATTGTGGTCAATGTTTGTTGTCTAGATACTGTACTTACAACTCCATGACCATGACCATCTCTGGCTTGAGATCATAGGCCCCCAGACACTGGACCAGTTTGGGGTGGTGCAGGTAGTTCATCAGCTTTATCTCTTTACGGGCCGCCTCCCTCTCCTTGGCACGCCGGCCCTTATAGAACTTCCCGGCACACACACGGCCCGTCTCCTTGTGGGTCAGTTTGAACACCTGGCCAAACTTCCCCCTGTGGAGTGTCACAGCAGATACACGTCGTTAACTAGAAAATTACATTTCCTGAATAAAATGTGGTTTGCTTGCTCCTCTTTAGGTGTTTTTCATGGTAATGAAAGCAGTTGTAGTGAAGGCTGTAGTAATAATGGTAGAAATAGGGTTTTCATAGAATACGGGTTAGTGATAGTGACCTATTTTGGAATGGTTGTAGGTGTGGAGTTATTATAATGGGTTATAGTAGGCTGGTATATTAGGCTAGAGTGAGTACTATATCATCATAAGCCATATAATGTGTTTTTAAGCTCTCAAAATGTTTTGTCTGAAAGTTTCGGCAGTGATTTCAGTTTTGAATGTTGAAGCCTGCATTCCGACATTGAAATGAATGGGGATACAACCAGCTTTATAGTTTATGAAGTAGGAATGATAGCAAAAAGCTGTGTTGAAGGCATCTAAATTGAGTCAGTCTGCACATGTCAACGTTGGGGTGGTGTTTCTAGCTGTGGTCAGTAGTTGGGTGGTTGTGGTAAATAGCTGTGGTCAGTAGTTGTGGTCAGTAGTTGTATGGTTCAGTAGTTGCGGTCAGTATACAAGCAACCTATTCCAGACCGGTCTGCACGTTTGAAAGTTTGAATGACGTTTCTAGCTGAAAACGGTGGAGGACTAGTAGTCATTTTTCCCATTCAAATCTATTGCCCCTGAAATGCATTGGGATTTATGCAATAGTGGTAGTATGCAAAGTATAAGTAGTATATATATATATATATACTTTTTTTATTCTCAAGCAACAGTACCAGTGCCAGTCTGCACATTTTAAAGTTATTTTGGTATTGGTAGCGTTAACGGTTCAAGAGCAGTGGCGTAGCCAAATACTTCCCATTCAAGCCTATGGCGCTGAAAAGTGGTATAAAAAAGGTTTTCCAAGCACACCGCGGAGGGTCAGCCTACACGTTTTAAAGTTGTTTATCTAGTTTTAGATGTTCAAGAGTAGCCTGGAGTGTTTTTTTTAACCCATAATAATCCTTTCCCCAAAACATTTATAAATACTCAAACCTCCCGTGGGCCGGATTGAATGGGCTCGTAGGCCGGATCTGTATTTTGCCCACACCTGCTATAGACATACAGTACCAGTAGAAAGTTTGGACACACCTACTCACTCCAGGGTTTTTCTTTATTTTTACTATTTTCTACATTGTAGAATAATAGTGAAGACATCAAAACTATGATATAATATATCAAGTAGTAACCAAAAACAAATCAAAATATATTTTATATTTGAGATTCTTCAAAGTAGCCACCCTTTGCCTTGATGACAGCTTTGCACACTCTTGGCATTCTATCAACCAGCTTCATGAGGTAGTCACCTGGAATGCATTTCAATTAACAGGTGCGCCTTATTAAAAGTTAATTTGTGGAATTTCTTTCCTTCTTAATGCGTTTGAGCCAATCAGTTGTGTTGTGACAAGGTAGGGGTGGGATACAGAAGATAGCCCTATTTGGTAAAAGACCAAGTCCATATTATGGCAAGAACAGCTCAAATAAGCAACGAGAAATGACAGTCCATCATTACTTTAAGACATGAAGGTCAGTCAATATGGAAAATGTGAAGAACTTTGAAGGTTTCTTCAAGTGCAGTCGCAAAAACCATCAAGCGCTATGATGAAACTGGCTCTCATGAGGATCGCCATAAGAAAGGAAGACCCAGAGTTATCTCTGCTGCAGAGGATAAGTTCATTAGAGTTAACTGCACCTCAGATTGCAGCCCAAATAAATGCTTCACAGAGTTCAAGTAACAGACACATCTCAACATCAACTGTTCAGAGGTGACTGCGTGAATCAGGCCTTCATGGTCGAATTGCTGCAAAGAAACCACTACCAAAGGACACCAATAAGAAGAAGAGACTTGCTTGGGCCAAGAAACACAAGCAATGGACATTAGACCAGTGGAAATCTGTCCTTTGGTCTGATGAGTCCAAATTTGAGATTTCTGGTTCCAACCGCGTAGGTGAACGGATGATCTCTGCATGTGTGGTTCCCACCGTGAAGCATGGAGGAGGAGGTATGATGGTGTGGGTTGCTTTGCTGGTGACACTGTCAGCGATTTATTTAGAATTCAAGGCACACTTAACCAGCATGGCTACCACAGCATTCTGCAGCGATACGCCATCACATCTGGTTTGCGCTTAGTGGGACTATCATTAGTTTTTCAACAGGGCAATGACCCAAAACAAACCTCCAGGCTGTGCAAGGGCTATTTGACCAAGGAGAGTGATGGAGTGCTGCATCAGATGACCTGGCCTCCACAATGACCCGACCTCAACCCAATTGAGATGGTTTGGGATGAGTTGGACCACAGAGTGAAGGAAAAGCAGGCAACAAGTGCTCCGCATATGTGGGAACTCCTCCAAGACTGTTGGAAAAGCATTCCTCATGAAGCTGGTTGAGAGAATGCCAAGAGTGTGCAAAGCTGTCATCAAGGCAAAGGGTGGCTACTTTGAAGAATCTCAAATATATTTTGATTTGTTTAACACTTTTTTGGTTACTACATGATTTCATATGTGTTAATTCATAGTTTTGATGTCTTCACTATTATTCTACAATGTAGAAAATAGTACAAATAAAGAAAAACCCTTGAATGAGTAGGTGTGTCCAAACCTTTGACTGGTACTGTACATGTGAACCCCATGGACCATAATGCAATTGTAATCGGTGCCAAACCGTCTGTAAAGCCCATGTATAATCATGGCTCCAGACCAACTTCCTCCATCTGGAGATCTGAGCTAACTGGAGATCTGACCTAGATCTGCCCAGGAATGTAGAGGAAGGGTGGCTTTCTCTGAGTTTTCCCTGACCATGTAAAAAACTCAGGGGTTTTCCTGGTCAGGTCATTGTCAGGAAAAACTCAGGGTCTCAACTACAGAACTAGAATGAAGCGATATTCTCCCCTCCTCTCTCTGTTGACTGAACACTGAATCAACAAGTGTTTTTGTCAAGGCCTGATCAGCCATGCCTTTGACATTTCAGAGAGGAGGGAACTTTTTTTTTCACTTGAAAAACCTTGTGAACAAGAGTTGGCATTGAACAAGATAGTGAGTGTTCCTTACATGTAGATGAACATACATTTTTGTTCATGTCAATGAACCTTCATGAGGATAAGAGAGATTATCGCTAACCTGCCGATCTGGGGGCAGTGAGTTTAACTCATTTTGTTAGCTACACTGCATCACACACAGGCATGTGTGTGTGTTGTTGTGAACATTAAAGTATTCAATGTGTGTTTTGTGTAATGTTTCATGGGAGATACTCACACTCCCAGTTTCTCCAGTACATTGTAGTGATCAGTGACCTTGTGGGTGGAGTCGATGGTGACGTCCTCATATGTCCGAGGAGACTCCTCCTCTTGTGGCTCAGCTACAGATCACACACAGGGACAGACATACAGTATGAGCTGTCAGTCATCAGATAGGCAGCATCAAACAATGCACCTATTGATACAAATCTATAGGAAACAGACTGAAAAATCCTGTCAATGTGTTCCTGTCTGCAGCTGAAGGCATGAAGTCCATGTGATAAACAAGCTAGATTAACATTTTAGTCATTTAGCAGACACTCTTATCCAGAGCGACTTACAGTAGTGAGTGCAAACATTTTTCGTTTGACATAAAAGTTAGTTGTGGACAGGGGTTTCAGATCTGAAATAAGTGTTTCCCATGTACAATCATGAAAGAACAGTAATGTAGGGAGAGACAGAGGGCAGAGGTCATGGAGGCACATAAAGCATAGAGATCTGCATGGTTTATGATTATGTTATAAGCTAAATGCTAAACACGTTTACATTTCTTAAGTGACCTTTAAATGCCTTGCTGTCTTTAAGCTTCTCTTTTGTCTATTTTTTTCAAAGCAGGTCCATTTATTTGTCTTTTTGCGCAAGTCTGTATTTTCCCTATCTGTTAACCACCCAAAAAGTTTCCAGCATCTTGTGCAATATTTGACAAGTGCACCATTTAAAGGGAAAGACTGGTCTGAGAAACAATACAGAATGATGCTGCAGGAAAGGCTTCAGAAGGCTTTGAGAATGAAGGGTATTGCAGTCTTTTTGCTGGCACTATGCTGCTGTCTGTCTGGGACACAGGGTCTGGGAGACCACGAGGACCAGAAAGCATGCTGCCCATCTGACACTGGTTCTCTGATGAAAGAACTGATATCTATAGGAGAGAAACTAGGAGCCATGGGGGAGAAACTGGGAACTATGGGGGATAACCTGAGACTCATGGAGACCCGGTTACAAACCAGTGAGAATGAAGTGGAGGAGCTGAAGAGACTAACTGGAGGTAATATAGCCCTTTTCACATTTGTCACCAACCTCCTATCCACCCATTGCTTCTCTGTCTATTATAGGGATTATCCTATATTTAACTTTCTAACAGCTTCTGATCTTTGAATACATTATTACAACTGATATGATATACAGTTCAATATAGATCATCTTATCCATCCTGTATCTCTCTCAGGCCGGCCTCAGGTGGCCTTCTCCGCAACTCTCCGGGAGACAGGCAATGCTGCTGGGAACACTGGACCTTTCACCACTCCCATTCCACTGCAGTACAAGAAGGTCTTCTCAAACACTGGCAGCTCCTACAACCCTGCCACAGGTACTAGATATTCTGTGTGTGTGTTGCATCATGTTGTGTGGTGTTGTGTTTTGAAACTAAAAGCTATGTCCCTACAGGTATCTTCACTGCAACGGTCAAAGGAATGTACTACTTCCGTTTCACGATGATGAACAACCTGAATGACACTCCTAATTCTGTGGTGTGCTTGACCAAGAATGGCCAGAGGCTGGTGTCTGTCTGGGACACGGTAGGAACCGATGCCCATGACAGTGGCAGCAACGCAGTGGTCATTCCTCTGGAGGTGGGAGATAATGTCTATGTTGAGTTGCAGGCTAACATGCTGGTCCATGATGACAGGATGAACTACAACACCTTCAGTGGCTTCTTGCTCTTCACCATGTAAACATGGAACACATTTCAACAGTTAAATGGTTGAAATTACTTACTTTTTTTTATAAGGGCTGGATTCAATCCGTATCGCGTTGACATTTAAAGACAATGTTCCCGCGTCGGCGGCGACTGCATTTACAGCAAACGCTGCATATGACGTGTCAATTGGAAATTACCTTAAAAATTTCAAGCACGCTACAGCGCAGATTTTCGCCGATATGGATTGAATCCAGTCCTTAAGTTAGTAGACATAAAATAGTAATCTGTAGCACACAGTGAGGTTATAATGCAGTAGAATGATGTACTTCCTATCTTTTACTTACTGTCACACTTTCCACAAGGCTGCTGTTCCACTACAAGCCATACTCTTTCACAAAATAAAATGTGTCATCTGGTGGACATAAGTAACTGTAAAAATAAAAAGCCATTGGCCTTAGAGGCAACTATAAATTTTTTGTCCAGTAATGGTTCACTTAGAAAATGAAAAAAATACTTCCAAATTCATAGCGGTTTCAATACATGCACATTAAACTTACATCTATCAAATGTTTACCAACCATACTTGGTGCAAAAATATTCCTTTATTATTAAGACACTTACTTTATTCACAGTAGTCTTAATTCACAGGGTTATTATTTTCAAAACCGTACATATGTCCAAAATAATTAGTAGGACTTAGAGGTTTTCCGATCTGAAATCAGAGAGTTATTTCACAAGAGCCGTAATGTACAGAGTTTAGTGGTTCAAGCGCTATACAACATTTTCTGCAATGTTTCAAAGACATTTCACAAACATGGGTGTCTGAATTTCTGCACATCTGCTTGTTTGTGTTTCGATATGTATTCACAGTTCTGACCAAACCTATTCCTTTACTATGAGTTTGGCTGAACACAGTGCCTCCCCCTGGTCGTTGGTGGCCCTACAGGTGTAAATATCAGAGTCCTCTGGTCCAACTTGGGCCAGGACCAGGGTGCAGAACCCATCCTCTTCATACTCTATCTGCACCCGTGATGACTCCTCCAGAGGCTCCTCACCCCTCAACCACACCACCTCTGGGTCAGGGTACCCTGAAAGGAGAGGTCAGAGGGGTGAGAGAAGGGATCAGAGGGGGGAGAGAGAGAGGAAACATCCAATGACAAGAGCTCAGGAAATGGAATGTAACAGTTACACACTAACTACTTAAAGTGTTTTACACAGCACGATGCAGCTGTGCGTCCTTGAGAAAGGGAGTTAGTTAGGCATGATTGCTCTTAATCAATGTCCAACTTTAAAACAAAGCATTTAAAATCTTTACAAGCACCAGCTGAAACTTAGTGAAAATGTGTAATTCGGTCAACCAAACATGTGGAAGCCGTTTGTAGTGTAAATCAGTGCACAGGTAGGTACCTGTGAGGTGACAGGAGAGGCGGGCGGTGGAGCCCTGGGAGGCTGTCTGGTCCGTTAGGGTCAGGGAGAACTGGGGCACCCCCTGGAGTTTGACCTCTAGAGACCGCAGGGCCTGCTCTGCCTCGGGACTCAGGGGACTGTCTGTCAGGGGTCAGACACAGGGTCAAGGCTCACAGCAGAGTCATAGACTGGTCAGCCAGACTGAGCACAAGTGAACCAATGGTATGCGTAGCTCCCATCTGGTTGACCGGGCTAACAGGGTCATATATCACGAGGAATGGTAGGGTTACGAGCCTAAAATAAGAGGAGTAAAACTGACATGGTTTGGATTGAGTATGGCAGGCTTTGGAAGTATGGCGGGAGGTCTCACCTTCTGTAGGGGGGATGGGAGAGCCAGGCCCATCGGCTTTAGACAACAGAGCCATCCTCTTCAGCGCCAGCAGGGCCTTCCCTGTTTTCTACAGGAGATACACAGAGAGGCTTCAGTCAATGGGTTTCACACACCTACTGGGGTATGATTAAATAATGAAAGAACTGAAATGTACTAAAATACAAAGTATAATCTTGGTGGGGAACCCACTACCTACCTTCCACTTCTGCTTGGCGAGGGTACCTCTTCATCTTCCTTGGGGCACTTGGTGTCCTCTCAGAGGGCT